CTTTGAGCAAAATGCTGACTGTCAAGCTGGCCGGATGCTGTGGCTTTGGCCCTTACAACAAACTGAAAAGACTTGGACCGACGTCACGCAAAGCCAAAGGCGAAGGCAAAGCGACAGTTTTAGGTTTTTACAAGTCTTTGATTGATTGCATTCTCGCCGACAAGCTTGACAGGCGATTCGCGCAACATGTCTTTTAACTGTCACCAACGGCCTTACCGCCAAACAAATGCACAGTATGTCGGAACACGAGAGATGGCGCCGAGCTGACGGCCGTCAAATCCAGCATGGGTGAGCTCTTACCTACCTGATATCAGGCTCGGCGCGCCATCAAGCACCCAGGGCGCTCCAGCCAGCCGTGGTTCGCTGACGCGGTGGTCGTTGCTCACCAAAGGCTCATTTCACAGCTGCCGACTCAAAATGTTGTCAACATCCGACCTTCTGTGCTGTACACACTTTGCGCAAAGAACGCCTTTCCCCTCAGCGAAGAGGTTGACTTTGGGCTCTTGGCTCTTGGCAGGCGCGATATTTCAGACCTCGGAGGCTCCAACAATGCAAAAAAGGGCGCCAGGAGGCCGGAGGTCTGAGCGGCAAAGGCCTCCTGAAAAGACCAGTTGCGAGGAAGACTTGAAAGACGCTACAACGCGTACCATGCACGACGGCCGCGAGCTGCGTGTCGGCACGAAAATTCAAGTTCCGGCCTGCATCGTTGGCGGATTGAAGTCCAAATGCCCACAAAAGGCCTCCCTTGGCGGACAGGCGCTCAGCCAGAACACGTGTTGAACGGCAAGGCGCATTTGAGCAAATGCGACCCCCTGCAAAACATTGATTGCTCTTCCGACCTTCTGTGCCGAACACGCAGTGGGCCGAAGCACACACCTCGCACAAAGAACTCCTTGCACGAGGGTCCACAGCCTCACTCAAGCTGCCAGTGTCAGGGGTGGATGTTGGATGGCATATTGTGGCTTAAGCACTACTACTTCTGCGTGTAAGGAAGAATATATATCCCCAAAGGTGGTACATGTCCTCCATACCTCCAAATGCTATCAACGATCATTGGGCTCTTGCTTGGCGTGGTCATGCTTGAAGTGGTGGCTATGTTTGACCCTATGTTCGGTGTCCTGATCATTCTTCGCAGTGCGCTTGCAATTGGCACGCCTACCGTCGTCCTTGGAGCGTTCGCCTAGCAGGGACTCACGCTGTGGGTGCAGCCAAGCGAAAGGTACGAAAGGTGTGCTCTCGCGACGCTTGGCTTCGTGCGACATTCGGCAAGCCCTCAGCCTGGATTCCCTGGGCGAAGCGGCTTGCCCCTCGAGGTTCACCTTGGGCTTTTGGCAGGCCCCACACTTCAGACCTCAGAGGCTCCCGCAGTGCACAGGGCCCAAAAAGGCCGGAGTTCTGAAGGCAAAGCCCTTCTGAAAAGGAGGAAGACTTGAAAGATACTACAGCGCGTACCATGCACCACAGCCTGCGCGAGCTGCGTGTCGGCAACAAAAATCAATGCCAGCCTGGGTGTGGGGGCAACAGGCAGGCACACCTGCTCACAAGAAGTCGTCTCTGCTGGTCCATAATGCGACAAAGCGCGAATTGCCGCCTCGGCCAGACTGGGCGCATCACTGCACATGCTCTCCAACGTTAAGGTTGCAGCACAAGGACTGATCTCACCAAGCGGGTCTCACTGTGCGACGGCAGCGTTGTCTCGCAAAGCTTTCCGCGGTCGAAGCTCACTGCGGTGTTCGGAGGCCACCACAACCAGCTTTGGCAGCCACGAACTGAGGGAGAAACTGCTGCTGGCCATCCTCATTTGCAGCGCAGCCATGTTCAGTGAGGGCGGACAGCCTCAGCGCCGATCAATGATTACGCCACCACACTCCAGTGTGGACAAAATAGGGCGGCACCCAGGGCAGCGGTGGGGTCCGGGGATCTCTCGACATCTGAGGGTGGTTGACCCTCAGCACGCGTGAAGTCGAAGGAGGTGAGAGATCCTCAAGGCAGTCACATGGGCCTCTACCAACGGGCCCACGAAAACTATACTTGAATCAACTATAACATCAACCAATGGTGGAAGGCCTTGATTGCATGATCATGGGTAGCTGATGAGAACTTCTTGTCGCACATGCCTACCAGTGTCCAGTCAAGTGATATCGATTCGACTTTGCCGCAACAAAACGGCCACATTGAGGCACAGAGCACTTAGACTTGGTCGGGAGGGGCGAAATTGTTTTGCCGCGCTTCTCGCCAAGCTTATTGTAGCCCCTTGCTGCCACATTGGGGAACGCGAATTCTGCGTCCTGTTTGGTAAGCTGCGCGGCTTGTATCCTTTGCTCTGTTTCCCCAACATCTGGGCCACAGCGCTCAATGGGTGAGCGGAAAACAAAAATGAAGAAAAAACAACTTTAAAAAGAATACCCCTCCGTTTTCAATGATGCATACCCCAAGCGCCCAAGCCTTGAGCCATCCCTGGTTTCAGACCCAGAGAGTGCTGGACATTTGCAGCTTGGGTTTGCACTTCAGCTCTCTCATTGGCGGCCTGCAAACCTTGCTGCGAAGGCTCAATCACCCCGAATGAGCATAGGTGCATTTTAGGACCTTCCACACAGAACCAACGAGTAGGATACAACAGGTAGGGACCCCACAGATTTCGTGGCCTTCCTTTTGGTTTCCCTAGGCCGCAAGGTGAAAAGCGACCCTCAATCAACTAACTAATGTTGACCCCATATTAATCAACCCCAGTTCATTAATACGGGGGTGTTCCCCTCCAAAAGTGGTCTGATTCCCCGCTAAACCCAGAATCGGACACCCCCCTATTGATAAACTGGGGTTAATTAATCTGGGGTTAACAAAACACGCACACCGTTGTGCCAAAAACTGCACAGCCAAACGAGCCACTGAGGTCGAGACCTCTCAGCGGACGGCTCGGCCGGAGGCCGAAGTCCGCTTCAGGCCTCGAGCGATTTGTTCGGAGCAGCTCCCAAGGGTGATGACGAAAACTGCCAGGCCTTGGACATTCCGTACTCAAAAATGGAATCCTGGAAAGACTTGGGGGGGCTGGGGTAGCCCTGCCGGTCCAGAATGAACCCTGGAAGGCGCTGGAAGAAAACGGCCAGAACGGCCAGTCCAAAGAGGCAAAAGAGACCAAACCAGGCCGTAGGATCACGGGGACGGATCCACGCCGTGCTTTGAAAAGACAAAAAAGCCTTCCTGAACAAGTCCTCGACACAAAAGTCCTTGTAGCCAGGACAGGGTTCTTCGGGGCTCTTGTTGGGAAACAATCGTGTTTCGGCTTTCAAGCGGGTCCTGGTGTGTTTGAAAAGATGGAAACCTCGAATTATTGAAATTGAGAAACATGGACATTGAAACGTTCATGTTTGTTTGCCCAATTTGGAGACAAAACCAATACCAAACACCAAGACATATGCCCATGTTTGGATTGGTCAAAACTCACTATTTTTGGCTCAGTCATCCCACGATTGATCGGGATTCACTAGACGGCCTTTTCAATATCCGTACCAATCGGTTGCATTTGTCCGTCAGTATCATAGAGGGTCCCATGTTTCATATGTGCCGGTGTCAAAAATCGGGAGACTCCCAAACACAATGGCCGGTTTCAAAACCCCATTTCACAGCGCCCAAATCCCAAGCACACCTTGCCAAGTTGCATTCAGGCGACGCGGGCAGCTCCGGAGGCTCGTATTGAACCCTCTATCTTTTCATTGCCGCCGGGAATCAAATTGACGGGCACTAGGGATGGGATCTGTACAACCGTGGTGCCTCGCAAATGGAGCTGCTCAGGTCGGGATGGCCAACAAGCAAGCAGCGCCTTTCAACCCCGATCATATCCCAGACCACACCACAGAATTTAAAACCCCACGCTATGGTTTCACACCATTGAACAGCTCACCCAAAACTGATCAAATGATCTTCATCCTGTAAAAACAATGCACCCATGAAGTCATTCATCATATAAAACAACTTACACTATGTCAACTAAGCTAAAACCTCATCCTTTTCGAACTCAATACGCTGCGTAGTTTGTTCGCGCCGCGCCGAGCTGGCATATCTGACAACTCTGCCAGCTGCCCGGCCAAGACTCAAAGAATTGCTCTTCAAGGTAACTGAAATGTGCCGCGAGCTGCGCCCGTGCGCAAGGCAACTCCTGGCAATCCAACTCGGACGCTGCTAGCATGCTAGCGTGTAAGGGCAACGCCCTGCAGCCTGTCTTGGACACATGCAACTGCAACACATGCGAGAAGAAACACGCCCCGTGCGCGCGAGCGAGATGGAATATCTGGCAGTTTTCCCCGGGTTCTGGGTTCTGCCAGCTGCCCGACCAACATTTAATGTAATGCTTGGCAAGGTGGCTGAAACGTCTCACGCGCTGCGCCCGTGCGCAAGGCAACTCCTGGCAATGCATCTCGGACGCTGCCAGCATGCTAGCATGTAAGGGCAACGCTCTGCAGCCTGTCTTGGACCTGAGGCAGCGTTTGAAAGGTGTCGCGCGCTGCGCCCGTGCGCAAGGCAACTCCTGGCAATCCATCTCGGACGCTGCTAGCATGCAAGGGCAGTGCCCTGCAGCATGTCTTGGACGCATGCAACTACAACACATGCGACAAGATACACACCCCGCGCGCGCGAGATGGAATATCTGGAATTCTGCCAGCACGCGAATCGTGTGCGGGTTCTGCACCAACTCTGCCCGCTGCCTGGGCAAGACTGTGAAATGCTCTACCAAGTAACTGAAATGTGTCGCGCGCTGCGCCCGTGTGCAAGGAAATCCAACTCGGATGCTGCTAGCATGCAAAGGCAATGCCCTGCAGCAGGTTTTGAACACATGCAACTGCAACACATGCGAGAAGGCACACGCCCCGAGCGCGCGCGCGAGATGGAATATCTCGCAACACATTCACAACTCTGCCGTCACGCGATGGCAATCTGCCCTTCAGTTTTCTCCGGGTTCTGTGACAACTCTGCCAGCTGCCTCGGCAAGACTATGAGTGCTCCACTCAGTGGCTGAAATGTGTCGCGCGCTGCGCCCATGCGCAAGGCAACTCCAGAAATGCATCTCGGACGCTGCTAGCATGCAAGGGCAATGCCCTGCAGCATGTCTTGGACACATGCAACTGCAACACATCCGAGAAGATACATGCCCTGCGCGCTCGAGATGGAATATCTGGCAACGCGTTCAGCACGCTGCCAACACGCCAAGGTAATCTGCCCTGCATTTTTCGCGACAACTCTACCAGCTGCCCGGCCAAGACGAAATGCTCTGCAAATGCATGAGTTCTTGGTGTCTGGTGCCCTGGCAGCGCTGTCCTTGTGGGCAAAGCGATTCGCTGCTTGACCTGGCCATCTGACAGGCAATTGCGCCGGCAGTATGATGCATTGATTGGCACGTGGCGAGTCTTTGACGGTGCGGCGCAAACAAGCTTTGCAATGAGGCTGGCTTCAAGTGGGCTGAATTCTGGCAATCTGCCCATGCCGATGCCGCGTCTTGCCCGGCGGGGACTGAGGCAGCGTTTCTGTTGATTTCAGCGATATGTGGGGCACGAGTGAGGCTGAGGCAGAGAGTGTTGCTAGCGTACTGAAGTTCTACGGCCGTACAAAGACATTGTCATTTGGCCGTATCGCTGAGAAGACACAACTGCGGTATGAGTTTCCGCTTTGAAACCAAGAAGCCACGTGCTTTTCCTGGATGAGCTGTAAGGCAGCTCCTGTCAACGCATCTCGGACGCTGCTGCAACACAGCATGTCCTGGACACATGCAACTGCAACACATGCGAGAAGACACACGCCCCGCGCGCACGAGATGGAAAATCCGGCAACACATTCACAGTTCTGCCAGCACGCCAAGGTGATCTGCCCTGCAATTTTCACCGGGCTCTGCAACAACTCTGCCGACCAAGGCTCGATAAAATGCTCTGCAGAATGACTGAAATGTGTCGCGCGCTGCGCCCGTGCGCAAGGCAACTCCTGGCAATCCATCTCGGACGCTGCTAGCACGCTAGCATGTAAGGGCAACTCCCTGCAGCCTGTCTTGGACCTGAGGCAGCGTTTGAAATGTGTCCCGCGCTGCGCCCGGGTGCAAGGCAACTCCTGGCAATCCATCTCGGACGCTGCTAGCATGCAAATGCTCTACAAAGTAACTGAAATGTGTCGCGCGCTGCGCCCGTGTCCAAGGCAATCCAACTCGGACGCTGCTAGCATGACAAAGCAGCAGGGTTTGGACACATGCAACTGCAACACATGCGAGAAGACCCTCGCCCCGAGTGCGCGCGCGCGATGGAATATCTGGCAACACATTCACAACTCTGCCATCACGCGATGGTACTCTGCCCTTCAGCTTTCTCCGGGTTCTGTGACAACTCTGCCAGCTGCCTCGGCAAGACTATGAATGCTCCACTCAGTGGCTGAAATGTGTCGCGCGCTGCGCCCATGCGCAAGGCAACTCCAGAAATGCATCTCGGACGCTGCTAGCATGCAAGGGCAATGCCCTGCAGCATGTCTTGGACACATGCAACTGCAACACATCCGAGAAGATACATGCCCTGCGCGCTCGAGATGGAATATCTGGCAACACGTTCAGCACGCTGCCAACACGCCAAGGTAATCTGCCCTGCATTTTTCGCGACAACTCTGCCAGCTGCCCGGCCAAGACGAAATGCTCTGCAAATGCGTTTCTTGGTGTCTGGTGCCCTGGCAGCGCTGTCCTTGTGGGCAAAGCGATTCGCTGCTTGACCTGGCCATCTGACAGGCAATTGCGCCGACAGTATGATGCATTGATTGGCACGTGGCAAGTCTTTGACGGTGCGGCGCTAACAAGTTTTGCAATGAGGCTGGCTTCAAGTGGGCTGAATTCTGGCAATCTGCCCATGCCGACGCCGCGTCTTGCCCGGCGGGGACTGAGGCAGAGTTTCTGTTGTTTTACGGCCGTATAAAGACATTGTCATTCGCCCGTATCGTTGAGAAGACACAACTGCGGTATGAGCTTCTGCTTTGAAACCAAGAAGCCACGCGCTTTTCCTGGATGAGCTGTAGGCAGCGCATCTCGGACGCTGCTACAATGCAGCATGTCCTGGACACATGCAACTGCAACACATGCGAGAAGACACACGCCCCGCGCGCACGAGATGGAAAATCCGGCAACACATTCACAGTTCTGCCAGCACGCCAAGGTGAGCTGCCCTGCAATTTTCACCGGGCTCTGCGACAACTCTGCCGACCAAGGCTCGATAAAATGCTCTGCAAAGTGACTGTACATGTGTCACACGCTACGCCCGTGCGCGCAAGGAAACTCATGGCAATGCATCTCGGACGCTGCCAGCATGCAAGGGCAATGCCCTGCAGCATGTCTTGGACACATGCAACTGCAACACATGCAAGAAGATACCCGCTCCGCGCGCGCGGTGGAACATCTGGCAACACATTCAGAATACTGCCAGCACGCCAAGGTAATCTGCCCTGCAATTTCTCCAGGGTTTGCGACAAGTCTGCCAGCTGCCTGGCCACGACGCAAAAAATGCTCTGCAAAGGAAAATGCCGCGCACTGCGCCCGTGCGCAAGGCAACTCCTGGCACTAGGACAATTCCTTGCAGCATGTCTTGGACACATGCAAGCCACATGCAACCACAACACGTGCGAGAAGACACACGCCCCCCGCGCACGAGATGGAAAATCTGGCAACACATTCACAGTTCTGCCAGCACGCCAAGGTGATCTGCCCTGCAATTTTCACCGGGCTCTGCGACAACTCTGCCAGCTGCCCGGCCAAGCCTTGGTGAAATGCTCTGAGAGGTGCCTGAACTGCGCGTTGCACTTGTGCGCAAGGCAACTCCTGACAATGCATCTCGGACGCTTCTAGCATGCAAGGGCAATGCGCTGCAAGCATGTCTTGGACACATGCAACTGCAACACATGCGAGCAAACACACGACACGCGCGGGTGCAGGCGAGATGGAATATCTGGCAACACGTTCACAATTCTACCATCACGCCAAGGTAATCTGCCCTGCAACTTTCTCCAGGTTCTGCGACAACTCTGCCAGCTGCCCGGCCAAGACTCAAGGAAACGCTCTACAAAGTGGCTGAAATGTGTCACGCGCCTGCGCCTAAGGCAACTCCTGGAATGCGTCGCGGACGCTGCTAGCATGCAAGGGAAATGCCCTGCAGCATGTTTTGGCCACTTGCAACTGCAACATCTTCGAGATGATACACGCCCCGTGCGCGCGCGAGACAGAATATCTGGCACACATTCAAATGCTCTGCAAATGCATGAGTTCTTGGTGTCTGGTGCCCTGGCAGCGCTGTCCTTGTGGGCAAAGCGATTCGCTGCTTGACCTGGCCATCTGACAGGCAATTGCGCCGGCAGTATGATGCATTGATTGGCGCGTGGCGAGTCTTTGACGGTGCGGCGCAAACAAGCTTTGCAATAAGGCTGGCTTCAAGTGGGCTGAATTCTGGCAATCTGCCCATGCCGATGCTGTGTCTTGCCCGGCGGGGACTGAGGCAGCGTTTCTGTTGATTTCAGCGATATGTGGGGCACGAGTGAGGCTGAGGCAGAGAGTGTTGCTAGCGTACTGAAGTTCTACGGCCGTACAAAGACATTGTCATTTGGCCGTATCGTTGAGAAGACACAACTGCGGTATGAGTTTCCGCTTTGAAACCAAGAAGCCACGCGCTTTTCCTGGATGAGCTGTAAGGCAGCTCCTGGCAACGCATCTCGGACGCTGCTGCAACGCAGCATGTCCTGGACACATGCAACTGCAACCCATGCGAGAAGACACACGCCCCGCGCGCACGAGATGGAAAATCCGGCAACACATTCACAGTTCTGCCAGCACGCCAAGGTGATCTGCCCTGCAATTTTCACCGGGCTCTGCAACAACTCTGCCGACCAAGGCTCGATAAAATGCTCTGCAGAATGACTGAAATGTGTCGCGCGCTGCGGCCGTGCGCAAGGCAACTCCTGGCAATCCATCTCGGACGCTGCTAGCACGCTAGCATGTAAGGGCAACGCCCTGCAGCCTGTCTTGGACCTGAGGCAGCGTTTGAAATGTGTCGCGCGCTGCGCCCGGGTGCAAGGCAACTCCTGGCAATCCATCTCGGACGCTGCTAGCATCCAAATGCTCTACAAAGTAACTGAAATGTGTCGCGCGCTGCGCCCGTGCGCAAGGCAATCCAACTCGGACGCTGCTAGCATGACAAAGGCAATGCCCTGCAGCAGGGTTTGCACACACGCAACCACAACACGTGCGAGAAGACACACGCCCCGAGCGTGCGCGCGAGATGGAATATCTCGCAACACATTCACAATTCTGCCGTCACGCGATGGTAATCTGCCCTTCAGTTTTCTCCGGGTTCTGTGACAACTCTGCCAGCTGCCTCTGCAAGACTATGAACTACTCAGTGGCGGAAATGTGCCGCGCGCTGCGCCCATGCGCAAGGCAACTCCAGAAATGCATCTCGGACGCTGCTAGCATGCAAGGGCAATGCCCTGCAGCATGTCTTGGACACATGCAACTGCAACACATGCGAAAAGATACACGCCCCGCGAGCGCGCGCGAGATGGAAGTATCTGGAAGTCTGCCAGCACGCCAAGGTAATCTGCGCTACAATTTTCACCGGGTTCTGCGACAACTCTGCCAGTACACAGTGGCTGAAATACGTTGCGCGCCAAATCCTGGAATGCATCTCGGACGCTGCTAGCATGCAAACGCAATGCCCTGCAGCATGTCTTGGACACATGCAACTGCAACACATCCGAGAAGATACACGCCCTGCGCGCTCGAGATAGAATGTCTGGCAAAAATTTCAGCACGCTGCCAACACGCCAAGGTAATCTGCCCTGCAATTTTCGCGACAACTCTACCAGCTGCCCGGCCAAGACGAAATGCTCTGCAAATGCATGAGTTCTTGGTGTCTGGTGCCCTGGCAGCGCTGTCCTTGTGGGCAAAGCGATTCGCTGCTTGACCTGGCCATCTGACAGGCAATTGCGCCGGCAGTATGATGCATTGATTGGCGCGTGGCGAGTCTTTGACGGTGCAGCGCAAACGAGCTTTGCAATGAGGCTGGCTTCAAGTGGGCTGAATTCTGGCAATCTGCCCATGCCGATGCCGCGTCTTGCCCGGCGGGGACTGAGGCAGCGTTTCTGTTGATTTCAGCGATATGTGGGGCACGAGTGAGGCTGAGGCAGAGAGTGTTGCTAGCGTACTGAAGTTCTACGGCCGTACAAAGACATTGTCATTTGGCCGTATCGTTGAGAAGACACAACTGCGGTATGAGCTTCCGCTTTGAAACCAAAAAGCCACGCGCTTTTCCTGGATGAGCTGTAAGGCAGCTCCTGGCAACGCAAGGTGATCTGCCCTGCAATTTTCACCGGGCTCTGCAACAACTCTGCCGACCAAGGCTCGATAAAATGCTCTGCAGAATGACTGAAATGTGTCGCGCGCTGCGGCCGTGCGCAAGGCAACTCCTGGCAATCCATCTCGGATGCTGCTAGCACGCTAGCATGTAAGGGCAACGCCCTGCAGCCTGTCTTGGACCTGAGGCAGCGTTTGAAATGTGTCGCGCGCTGCGCCCGGGTGCAAGGCAACTCCTGGCAATCCATCTCGGACGCTGCTAGCATGCAAATGCTCTACAAAGTAACTCGGACGCTGCTACATGACAAATGCCCTGCAGCAGGGTTTGGACACACGCAACGACAACACGTGCGAGAAGACACTCGCCCCGCGCGCGCGCGACAGAATATGTCAACACATTCACAATTCTGCCAGCACGCCAACGTAATCTGCCCTGCAATTTTCTCTGGGTTCTGCGACAACTCTGCCAGCTGCCCGGCCAAGCCTTGGTGAAATGCTCTGCGAGGTGCCTGAACTGCGCCGCGCGTTGCACTTGTGCGCAAGGCAGCTCCTGACAATGCATCTCGAACGCTGCTAGCATGAAGGGCAATGCGCTGCAAGCATGTCTTGGACACATGCAACTGCAACACATGCGAGCAGACACACGCTACGCGCGGGTGCAGGCGAGATGGAATATCTGGCAACACGTTCACAATTCTACCATCACGCCAAGGTAATCTGCCCTGCAACTTTCTCCGGGTTCTGCGACAACTCTGCCAGCTGCCCGGGAAATGCCCTGCAGCATGTCTTGGCCACTTGCAACTGCAACATCTTCGAGAAGATACACGCCCCGTGCGCGCGCGAGACAGAATATCTGGCACACATTCAGATTGCTGCCAGCACGCCAAGGTAATCTGCCCTTCGATTTTCTCCGGGCTCTGCGACAACTCTGCCAGCTGCCCGGCCGAGACTCAATGAAATGCTCTGCAGAGTGACTGCAATGTCGCACGCTGCGCCGGTGTGCAAGGCAACTCCTGGCAATGCATCTTGGACGCTGCTAAAGGGCAACGCCCTGCAGCATGTCTGGGGCACGTGCAACTACATCTTTCAGATGATACACGCCTCGCACGCGCGAGATGGAACTGGCAACACATTCAAAATGCTGCCAGCACGCCAAGGTAATTTCTCCAGGCTTTGCGACAACTCTGCCAGCTGCCCGCAAAGTGGCTGAAGTGTGTCGCGGGGATGTCACGCGTGCTACAAAGTGCATCTGGGATGCTTGGCCAGGGCAAATGCCTGGATGGTCTGGGTATGCTCTGAATTTTGTACCAGCATCTGGGCTGCTTGGGATGCTGCTAACAGGCCACATGGACAGACATCCAGTCTTCCCCTGTGTCTTGCAAGTCAGCGTAAGTAGCATGTGGCGTGGCACTTGCGCGCTAGCCTCCGGCGCTTGCGTTTTTGCAGCATTCTTACTACGGCCCAAGGTCCCAATGACTTTTTGCCGAGCCCATGTCCACATCTCTCCAGGCGCTCAAGTCTCATAAGTCTCATGACCTGCACCAGTCTTAACACATGCAACCTGCCCAACACTGAAGTAACAAACCCTGATGGGTATGGACATGGGTGACACGGGGGGGTTGAACTCCATGAAGTGACTAGCTCGCCATCGGTTCTCAAGTCGATGACCAAGCAAACATCTGGGGATCCGGACAGCCCGGGCCCGGACAGACGGGCCCCGCGGAGTGGCTGGGAAGCCGAAAGTCACGCAGCATCCAAGCCGCACTCACGCTCACGGCCTCGGCTTTGAAGCTTCACACCGCCGGCCCTTGACATGGCGGGCTGCGGGGTGAAAGTCTGAGCGGCACTGAGGCATCCAAAACCGATATCGGGACCGCTGCAGTGGATTTGAAGTACACGCGTGCAACGTGAATGTTTCCTTGCCAGAACTCTACGGGACGAAAATATTCACGAACACAAGCAGGTCTGATTCCGCGTCTAGCTATGCCTCAAAAGTTACCTCAAAGTTGCAGTCCACTGTCAGAACTCTACAAGTGAACAATGCAATACATCTCACCGCCCACAAGTAGGTTTGACGACTGGCCTGGCTATGGCACGAAACGTCATGCGCAGACGGCAGTCTGTGGCCATAAATCCGGTTGCGCTGCGACAAAAAAGACAGCTTCTCAGCTTCTGTCAAGAAGTCGGTGGCAAACCAGACAGCCCTTTCCTGGACTAATCGCGTGGCTGTCGCCGTTGCCGGGTCTCCAAGCGAGTAGCAAGGAAGCACATTTTGACATGAGAGGCGTACGGGCAAAACAAGCATGCGTGCAAGTTGCGCAGTTCACGTCCACGGCTGCAGGTGCCACAAGCGCAGGGTCGATAGTCTGGCACTACAAGCAGGCTTTGTTTACGTGTGTCCTTGCATGAGTGAAAGGCATTTTTCTCGTAAACTGCTGGCCGCTGGTAGCTCCTTGTTTCCAACGCGCAAGACAAGAATAGTTAGATCGGCAATGTCTTACTCTCCCCAAGCTGCCATAAAACCCTACTCAGTTCTTTTGCCTCACCCATTCCTGCAAAACACTGAAAGGCGTTCCTGGCTTTTGGCTTCCTTGAAAACCCAGCCAAAGAGTAGTCCACCAGGTTGAGAAACAAGGCTTACACTGTCCAAGCTTTTAAGCCTTCCCCGTAAGCTCTGGCTTGAGATCCTTAGCAAAAGAAGGCGGCCGAGCAAGATGCCTTGAGCCGGCCTGTCTCTGTCAAGTCTGGTCACATGTTACGGAGGGTCGATGGCTGGACCTCAACCGAGTCTCGGGCACTAAAAATCTCAGTAGCAAGCATGGCTGAAAGCTCGGCTTTGTTGAGAAAAAAAAGGATGCGCTCCGACCGAACTTTCTTCTCGTTAACGCGACGGAGCTGAACTGTTTCTGCCATGGCTCGAAGCTTCACGGCGCCAGCCGGTCACTTTGAAGACCCGGTCTGTTGGAAAGAGCCTCTCAGCGTTGCGAGTTTGTTCCCTCTCCTCTCCCCCAGACGGCTACACAGCGGATCCGAAAATTGAAATCTACAGAAGTAGGTTCGATTGCGTGCTCTAAAGTTAACCTGGAACTGGCGTCCGGCCGTTTCGCCCGGCCCTCAAAACCCTCTCGCAGACGCCTCGAAGAGCCCTACCGCGAGACCATCAACGCCAGAACTTCTCCCTGCACCGAAGAAAATCAAGAGAAAGTCGGTGGCACTTTAAGCATTCAAGCAAAACAAGCGCTTGCATTCGGAGAGGCCACTGTCAGAATCTACAAAGACATCGTGACCACTACGCACAAGCAGGTGCGCTTGCATGTCTACACAGAGGAACCAAAATTGCCGTCTACAGAAGTAGGTTTGATTGCATGCTCAAAAGCTAACCTACCTGGAAGTGGCAGCGTCTGGCCGTTTCGCCCAACCCTCCAAACCAGGAAAATGCCCTCAGCTACAACCTTTAGACCCGGCGCTGTCCAGCTCGCCCATCAGCTCCGAGACTTGTCTACAATCCATAGGGTCAGACGTGGTGTAAGTTGGTGGCACTTCAATAGTAAAGCAAAAGGACTGTCAGAACTCTACAGAAGCACGAACACAAGCAGGTCTGATTCCGCCTCACAGGTTACTTCTGAGCTGCAGCACAGCCATAGATCTGGCCCTTTCAACAATCCTCTTGAAGGGCATTGTTAGCTGCTGCTGTGAACCTAGGAGCTTCCCAGCTTTAAGCCCAGGCGAGTCCCCTGTCAGAACTCTACAAGCGAACAAACAATTTCACCGGCGACCAGCAGGATTGACGGCGCGCCTGGCTATGGCACGAAAGTTCACTTCCAGAGTGCAGTCTGTGGCCGTAAATCCGGCCGTCTTGCTTGTCGCGCCACAAAAGAACGACGGTTCATCCGCTGCGAAATCCAGATGGCTTCGAAGCTGCCCCGCGCCAGAACTTCTCCAGCGGTGAGCTTTGATGCCGATTGTTGAGCATGGCACCGCAAGCTGGGTTGACCAAGTCACTGTCACTAACACCCGCTGCGATATCATCCTCTAGGCCATCCTCAATGGCAATGGGTTTGGTTGCCTGTCATACCCAACTACCTCCTTTTAGTTCAACTGGCGTCAAAGTGGAAGCACGTGGTCCCCGAAACGGATGTGTCCGCTCTTTCGAAAGCAAGACGGCTTCAAGAGCTGTGGGACCCCCTCAAAGCGGCCCCGAAGCGATGGAAGGTCGCTCCCGTCCGAATCGATTTTTCCCGGTAGCTAGGCTTGCAAAATTGGACAGGATCAGACCTTGGGATAAGTCAGCCGCAATTCAAAGGTAAACTAGGCAATCAGCGCTGTCAACCTACAAAGGAAGCAAAATCATCTGTCGGTTTGGTTGCAAGTCTGATCACGACCAAACCTCCGTGTCAGTCTGTGGCCGAAGTTCTGGCCGAGGCCACCAAGAGAGCTTGACAGCTTCACAAAGGGCGCGGCTGCTGCTAGAGCTTGGCCAGCCTTGCTCCGGCATCACTGCGACAAGGCTCTATGTGTACCGGCACTGCGGCGCCAAAAGTCTAAAGCGAAAGGACAGTCAGAACTCTACAGAAGCACGAACACAAGCAGGTCTGATTCCGCCTCACAGGTTACTTCTGAGCTGCAGCACAGCCATAGATCTGGCCCTTTCAACAATCCTCTTGAAGGGCATTGTTAGCTGCTGCTGTGAACCTAGGAGCTTCCCAGCTTTAAGCCGAGGCGAGTCCCCTGTCAGAACTCTACAAGCGAACAAACAATTTCACCGACAACCAGCAGGATTGACGGCGCGCCTGGCTATGGCACGAAAGTTCACTTCCAGAGTGCAGTCTGTGGCCGTAAATCCGGCCGTCTTGCTTGTCGCGCCACAAAAGAACGACGGTTCATCCGCTGCGAAATCCAGATGGCTTCGAAGCTGCCCCGCGCCAGAACTTCTCCAGCGGTGAGCTTTGATGCCGATTGTTGAGCATGGCACCGCAAGCTGGGTTGACCAAGTCACTGTCACTAACACCCGCTGCGATATCATCCTCGAGGCCATCCTGTCAATGGCTGTGGGTTTGGTTGCCTGTCAGACCCAACTACCTCCTTTTAGTTCAACTGGCGTCCAAGTAGAAGCACGTGGTCCCCGAAACGGATGTTTCGCTCTTTCGAAAGCAAGACGGCTTCAAGAGCTGTGGGACCGAAACGGATGTGTCCGCTCTTTCGAAAGCAAGACGGCTTCAAGAGCTGTGGGACCGAAACGGATGTGTCCGCTCTTTCGAAAGCAAGACGGCTTCAAGAGCTGTGGGACCCCCTCAAAGCGGCCCCGAAGCGATGGAAGGTCGCTCCCGTCCGAATCGATTTTTCCCGGTAGCTAGGCTTGCAAAATTGGACAGGATCAGACCTTGGGATAAGTCAGCCGCAATTCAAAGGTAAACTAGGCAATCAGCGCTGTCAACCTACAAAGGAAGCAAAATCATCTGTCGGTTTGGTTGCAAGTCTGATCACGACCAAACCTCCGTGGCAGTCTGTGGCCGAAGTTCTGGCCGAGGCCACCAAGAGAGCTTGACAGCTTCACAAAGGGCGCGGCTGCTGCTAGAGCTTGGCCAGCCTTGCTCCGGCATCACTGCGACAAGGCTCTATGTGTACCGGCACTGCGGCGCCAAAAGTCTAAAGCGAAAGGACAGTCAGAACTCTACAGAAGCACGAACACAAGCAGGTCTGATTCCGCCTCACAGGTTACTTCTGAGCTGCAGCACAGCCATAGATCTGGCCCTTTCAACAATCCTCTTGAAGGGCATTGTTAGCTGCTGCTGTGAACCTAGGAGCTTCCCAGCTTTAAGCCGAGGCGAGTCCCCTGTCAGAACTCTACAAGCGAACAAACAATTTCACCGACAACCAGCAGGATTGACGGCGCGCCTGGCTATGGCACGAAAGTTCACTTCCAGAGTGCAGTCTGTGGCCGTAAATCCGGCCGTCTTGCTTGTCGCGCCACAAAAGAACGACGGTTCATCCGCTGCGAAATCCAGATGGCTTCGAAGCTGCCCCGCGCCAGAACTTCTCCAGCGGTGAGCTTTGATGCCGATTGTTGAGCATGGCACCGCAAGCTGGGTTGACCAAGTCACTGTCACTAACACCCGCTGCGATATCATCCTCGAGGCCATCCTCAATGGCAATGGGTTTGGTTGCCTGTCATACCCAACTACCTCCTTTTAGTTCAACTGGCGTCAAAGTGGAAGCACGTGGTCCCCGAAACGGATGTGTCCGCTCTTTCGAAAGCAAGACGGCTTCAAGAGCTGTGGGACCCCCTCAAAGCGGCCCCGAAGCGATGGAAGGTCGCTCCCGTCCGAATCGATTTTTCCCGGTAGCTAGGCTTGCAAAATTGGACAGGATCAGACCTTGGGATAAGTCAGCCGCAATTCAAAGGTAAACTAGGCAATCAGCGCTGTCAACCTACAAAGGAAGCAAAATCATCTGTCGGTTTGGTTGCAAGTCTGATCACGACCAAACCTCCGTGTCAGTCTG